TCTTTTCCTTATAATGTCTAGGCATCACGTGATCTTATCATTCATGAGGTTGCAACGCCCAGGAGTTGTATCATATTCAGAGTCTGTTAAACTGTCTCAAAATGCAGAAAAGTTTGCAATAATATTAATAAAATCTTTATTCTGGAGCATCAATAAGCAATAACAGCACCTTTCTTGGAATTTTTTCTTGAAGCTCATTGTTAATATTTTTGATGTTCTTCAAGACAGCATGGATAACATACAGATGTTGCCTACAGAAGCTGTGCTGTAAATATTTAGGGCTCCCCTCTGCACCTCATTGGGAAGTGGCCACTTAACATTTCAAAGAGTGCGAAGAGGCATTTGTGGAAGAAAATGGTGTGTGTGCGCCTTAATCCAAAAATAATAACCACACCTCTCATTGTATAGTAATATCTCATAGTGATGACTCTTTACCACTTTACAATATTCTTACGTGTTCATTATACAATCTGATTTGCACAACAAAGCAAGACAACCAGGGATTACCGTCTCCATTTTGCAGACATGAAAATTATGAAAGGCAGTGGTTTGTCCAAGCTCACACAGTTACCAAGTAGCAGAAAGGGGCTAGAACTTAGGTCTTTTGATGATAGGTCCAAAGTTACTTCAGCTCTACTATAGTCTTTCTGGCTCAGCTCACTATTTTTCTCCCTGCTGCTGAAACACTTCACCACCAAGGAAAAAATTACTCCATGGAACCAGCCTCATCAGCATGTCATGCTTAGTGTATGCAACAAGGAACTTATGAACGTATTCTTCAATCCACGACATTATCGGCCCCTTCTCTTACATGTGTGTGTACATGTATTTATACATTTCCTTTATCCCCATTCCTCATTCTCATCCCCCTCACTCCTCAATGCAATCTATCCTAATATGTTTAACATATATTCTTGTGTTCATGTGTCTTTGTGTAATGTATACTATTTTGAATACATTCTTCTCATTTAAGTAAATAGAGGTCCACAATCACTTATTCACAATTCTGAAACCTACGCAGCTCTGGATATGAAAAGTTTTTTCTTAAACTCACTTAGCAGCAAATCTGACTCAAGGTACAGGAGGTTGTTTGTATTCTTTATCCACTTAGTGTAACCATTCCTACATTTTGCTGCAGAAATATTGGGTTAAATCATGAGATGCTTGCCTTTTCCCTTTCTAAAATCCAAGTTTTTTGAATTCCAAAATAAATCTGACTCCAAGGGATTTAGTTGTCTACCTCTAGTATAATATACAGATCTTACTCCGTTTTTACCCAGTATTATTTTTTTAAGATCTATCCGTGTTGCTGCATGTACATCTCGTCCGTTACTCATAACTGCGGCAGAATACTCCCTGAAGTGGATCCCTCACATTTTACTACTCACTCCCCCAGTGGTGGGCAACTAGATTGCCTACAACTTCTCACCACTACAAACAATGACTGAATGAACATCCTCACACATGTCCCTTTATGAGCCTGTATAAGAATCTCTTTGAGATGTACACCCAAGGGTAGAACACTGGGTTATCAGGTGTGCGTGTACTTACTCTGACCAAGCCAGCTGCCAGAATGCCTTCCACGGTAGCTGCATCAGTCTCCTTGCATTATAAGAAGGATCCCGGAATTCTACACTACTGCCAACACTTGTCAATATCCAGTGTCCTCATTTTTGGCAGTCTAATAGGTATATAGTGATATATCATTCTTGTCTTCATTTGTATTTTTCTGATTATAATATATCTGAGCATCTCTTGATACTTGTTAGCCTTTGGAGGATCCTCTCTGTAAATTTCCTGTTCATAAGCTTTGCCCATTTTCATTGGAGTTTCTGTCTTTTTCTTGCTGACTTGCAGAAGTTCCTTATATACTCTCCTTTCGTTTTAGACATTACAAAATATCTTCTCCCAATCTGTCAGCTGTTTTTTTTTTTATTTTATAATTTTACTTATTTATTTTTCCCCCAAAGTCCCAGCAGATAGTTGTATGTCATAGCTGCACATCCTTCTAGTTGCTGTATGTGGGACGTGGCCTCAGCATGGCCGGAGAAGCGGTGCATCGGTGCGCGCCCGGGATCCAAACCCGAGCCGCCAGCAGCGGAGCGCACGCACTTAACCGCTAAGCCACGGGGCCGGCCCTGTCAGCTGTCTGTTAACTTTGTCCATGGTTAGCAGGAAATCATACTACAGAAATTCCTGATTTTTATGTAATCAAATTTATCAGTATTTTTCCTTATGGCTTGATGTTTCTTAAGAGCTTTGATGTTTTTAAGAAATCCTTCTCACTCTTGAGTGACAAAGGTAGTCTCCTACATTTTCTTCTACTGCTATAACTTTACTTTTCACATTTAGTCTTTCATCCACATCCAAGTGGCTTCACCTCTGTATATTGTTTTAGGTTGGAGTCCAGTTTTATTTTTCACTGTATAGTGAGCACTTTCTACTAAACAATCCATGCTTTCCTCATTGATCTGGGTGCCATCTGTATCTTAAGCCCAATACTCACAAAAACAATTCTTTCTCTAATTTCTCTATTTTGTTTTAATGGCCCATTTGGCTGTTCTTTGCCAAATACTATTTTTGTTACCATTGCTTTGAACTATGTCTTTATATCTGGTAGACCTACTCCTCCACCTTTATTATTCCTTGACAAGTTTAGCTTAGATATTCACGGGCTTTCGCTCTTATGTATTTTAGAGTAGATTTGGTTGATCTTTGAAAGTTGGTATTTGTATTCAGTGAAGTTGTTGAATCCTCTTATTAGTTCCAGTATTTGGTCTATTGTTTTTGTTGCATTTTTTGTATATCAACTGTAAATAATGACGGTTTTGCCTTTTTCTGTCCAATTTTTAAATCTCTCATTTCTTTTTCTTTCCTTATAGCATTGGCCAAGACTTCCAGCACAATACTAGACACTATGTAGTAGTGATCATGGGCAAAGTATGTCTCTCATAGAAAAGGAATGTTATTCCAGAAGAAGGTTTTCATTTTATCTTGGCTACAGTATGTGCAGCACATCAAAGAACTGTTTCACAAAAGTATAGGTTAGAAACTGTGTCTGGTGGCCAAGAATCCACTCTGAGGAGAGGCCCTGTGCTCATTTATGCCACAAAAATTACTTTTTCACAAGAGACAGCCCTCCCAGGGGAGAAATAGCTCAGCTGTGATAAACTTGACTTCATTCTGACTTGAAGAACATTTAACTCCATCCTAAACCCCTATGGCAATAACACAGCTCTGCACCTGTCATTTGCTTCACACAATCCACTAGATGCAACTGTTTCTGACAACACATTGGTCTCTATCCCCATGGGGGAATTCACAGACAGCAGCATTGGAAGGAGCCTTAGAGATCAACGACTGCTCTCATTTTACACACATCTAAAAGTCCCTATGGTGGGCGCCTCATCACCCTTGAGCTGATGATCTGCCTGGGGGGCTGATGCCTACAACTGAGAGAGCTTGAATCAGACCAGGAGCTAACAGCTTTCTCCCAATGGGTTTCATCACTCCGTCTTCAGTAGAGGTTGGCCCTGCTTAGTGTTCATGGTGGCATCAAGGCTCACAGTGACCTCATCCATCCCGACTTCAATTGGGACCCACAGGAGAGAAGGAGGAAGCACCCACTCTTCTCTCCTGTATCCCCAAAGGCTTTTCCCTCTCCAAGACTGGGGCATCTGCACAAAGCTGGGCACAGGCAGCTCCGTTGTGAAGTCCAGGGGCCTCAGTGCAGTCACACCCATCGGAAGCTCTGAGTGGGCGACAAAACACACTCCTCCCTTTCACACACACCCAGGGTGACTAACGCTCGTGGTAGAAATGAGTGAACTGAAAAGTCCCACAGGAACCTCAAACCCAGCACATCCAAAATGGAACTTCTCCATCTCCTCCAGACTCACTCCCCTCTTACAGTAACCCCTGTGCAGGGACTGAACAACCTCCATTCAGCCCTTCTCAGCGCCTTCCTGTCCCTCACACCTGAGGAGTTACCAAGCCCAGGAGAATCCCTCCTGCCCACCTTCTGTTCTCCATTCTGAATGCGGCCTTGGCCACATCTCCCAACTGCTCCCTGCACTCCACTCTCGATCCCTGGGATCCATCCTCCATACTACTGTGGAAGGGATCTTCCCATCACGCAAATCCAGCCATGTCTCCTGCCTAAAACCCTAGAAGGCTCCCCACCACCCTCAGCAGAATGTACACTCCTTAGCATGGCATCTACTACCCTCACGGCAGAGGCCCATTGCCTTCTCCAACCTCACACCCTGACAGCAGAACCTCTAGATCACCACCTCCTTCTACCCTCCCTGACTGCACTCTGATCCCTGTTCCCCCTACCTAGAACCTGCATCGCGTCCCACTGGAAGCCATCTAATGCCTGCCCATCCTTCAATACTCAGGTCAGGGGCCCCCTGCTTCTGGGAGCCTTTGCTGCCTCCTCACCCCCATTGCTCCTGCTGAGGTGCCCTCTGTCTGGGCTTCTCCTCCCAGGACCCTGTGCATCCACCCCACTAAATTGTAACGATTCTCTCCTGGACATTGTAAGAAACTGGATTCTCTAGACAGTAGTTATTGCATAGCCAGACTGGTTTCATCCATTTTCATGTTTCATATAGCGCCCATGAACCAAGCACATTGAGTCAGATTCGGTGCAGGAGTGCCCCAAAGGGACCTGTTCACACTGGGTGTCCTACACCTGGCACAATGTCCTCAGATAGCACTGAGGACCATCTGAATGAATGAGTGAATGATGAATGATGAATGAATGATTTGCGCACCCCCATTCAGAACTGGGCGGGAGGTCACTCACCATCAGGGCACATCCTGGATAGGAGATGGGAAGCGGGTGGCACTGCCCGGTGCTCCGTCGGGAGGGAGCGCTGCCGGGCGGCGGGACGGGGCTTGGGAGCTGGGGGACTGAGGGCTGCGGGCAGGGGGCGGGCTTGCCCGGGGACCCCGCGCCGCGGCTCAGCGCGGATTTCGCTTTCGCTTCGGGCGGCCGGAGGCGGGGGGCCGTCCCGGGACGCCTGCGGCCGGGCTGCGAGTTAACCCGAAAGCGCCCAGCGCCGCGGGCCGGACTCCACGTGTCACCGAGAGGCTGATGTAGAGAGAGACAGAGAGAGAAAGCAACCAAGAGAGCAGAGTCCCGGGAAAGTCCTGCCGCGCCTCGGGACAATTATAAAAATGTCACCCCCCGGGCCGGCCTCGCCACCACCGCCCTCACCTGCGGCGTCCACCCGTCGGCGTCCCGCGGCCAGCCCGGAGTCCGCGCAGCGCCCGCTCGCCATGTGTCCCCCGCGCAGTGAGTGGCCGCGCTCGGGCGGAGGGTGGGGCGGCCGCGCGGAGGAGGAGGTCGGGGGAGACCGGGAGGCCACCAGCCACCTCTTGCGGAGCAGAAAGAGGGAGCTTACCGGGCGCTCACTGGGACATTGGCTCTTTTCACCTTGAAACAGCCCCTCGAGCTCCTTCACAGCTGAGAACCTGAGGCCCCGCGCGGTAGATTTCTTGCTCAGGGGTCCTCAGCTATTGCTATAAGAGGGCAGGTCCCAGCTGGCTTCGGATGAGGCAGTGTCACCCCACTGTTTCCAAAACTCTGAATCTGGGCCAGTCACTTCACCACTTGGCCTCAGTTTCTCTACTGGAGAGATGGAGGCTTTTTCTGGGTGAGATCTGAGTCCATCACCCTTGTCTGAGCTCCTTAGGGGGCCCTTACAGTGAGTTGGCTTTTAGCCCCAGACTAGAGCGCTGCCTCCCGAAAACTGGATTCATCTCTCAGGTGTTGAAGGAAGACTGGCAGTGGGGGAGGGAGGTGGTGCCCAGGAGAGGTGGGTGGGTGGAGATGGCCAGAATGGATGGAAGGTCCAGGCAGGCCAAAACAGGCTGACCAACTCGACCTGCCCTCACTTCCCTTCCAGGCCTCCTCCTCACAGCCATCCTGGTCCTCCTGAACCACCTGGACCACCTCAGTGTGGCCAGGAACCTCCCCACAGCCACACCAGGCCCAGGAATGTTCCAGTGCCTCAACCACTCCCAAAACCTGCTGAGGACTGTCAGCAACACCCTTCAGAAGGTGAGATTCTCAGTGTGCTTGTTCCCACTCTGCAGCCTGTCCCTGAAGGGACTTCTGGAAGCCCTGCCCCCCCCCCCCCCCCCCCCCCCGCCCCGGAGGCACTGCAGGGGGTTGTGGAAGGTGGTGGGGAGCTGCCAGGAGAGGGAGCCAGAACTTGACAAGTGGCCCAACTATTAGCTAAAGAGTCTCGGAGGCAGCAGGAGTGGTCATAAATGATAATGGCATTCGTTCTGGCTGTGTCTACACAGAGGAAAGTGGGTAGTTATGGTGTTCCTGGTGGCCTGCCAGCAGAGATGGAATTGTGTCGGGCCCACACTGTGTCTCTGACACCCTTGTCAATCCAGGACGCCGTGAATAGGAGCAGCCTCTGTGCTCCAGGGGCTGTAAAGGTGAAGGGGGCCTGGCCCTCACGCGGCTCACCAGCTTGCAGTCTGCGGACGCACTTGCTCGTCAGAACAGCACATTGCAGGGGACCTGTGACAGTGCACATCCAGCCTTCGTTTTCTAGGAAGAGGGTTATCTAATTTTATTTACAGCTTCATTCACTTTTCTAGGTTTCATATTTTAATGGGAAAAAAGTGGGTTTTTTTCCTTTTAAAGTGCCCCAATAGTTACTGCCCTTGCTGCAACGACCAAAGATCAATGTGTTAAAAGCTGTCCTCTTGCCTTCCTGCTCTCTAGTAAATCTTTCTTGAATATTTTCTAGCTTGTTGCTTTATGAATATCTTAAAATAAGCTCAATGCCACAAGGCCTTCTTAAAGAACTCTTTCTCTTCTAATCTTTCACACTGTGCTGCCAATTGCTCCATGCGGTCCATCAACCTTGTTAGAAAGCCGGCTCAGCAAGGGCGAGCTGTGCAGGGCAGTGCTCTGATTCCTGAAGAAAGCTCGATAAGGATCAAGTTGAGGAACTCTGATCTAAATAGATGCTTTATGTGCCAAAGCTGACTCTCCCACTCACGGGTACAGCACTAAAGGTCAAAAGATTGCAGGACTCAGTTTCATATTTTTGATATCATTCCTTTGTCAAATTTGCCAGAACAGATCAGCTAGCTCCTGCAGAAAAAAGAGGGGGCAAATGTGTGCAATTCACAGGCCGTATCCAGCCCACAGATTCGTAGAGTCTGGCCCATGCCCTTTGTATTTATTTTGATTTTTGAGTTTGATGCCATTGAAAAAGTGGACCTTTCATATAAGAATCCAAATTTCCAGTTTCTCTTAAAAAGATCTGAAGAACTACAACAGAAGGCCCACGTTTCCAAACCTGACCCTGCATAGCCTGCTCAGGACGGTGGCTGCCGAGGTCTGCTTGAGCACCTGCAGGAACAGTGTGCGGTGTCCTGTGGCTGCTATAACAGACACCACAAACTGAGTGACTTTATGATCTTACAGCTCTGGAGGTCAGAAATCTGAAATGGGTCTCACTGGGCTGAAATTAAGGTGTCAGCAGAGCTGTATCCCTTTCTGGAGACTCTAGGGGAGAATCCGTTCTCCTGCCTTTTCCTGCTGCCAGAGGTGCCCATTCCTTGGTGTGTGTCGCAGTCCATCTTCAAAGCCAACAGTGGCCGGCTGAGCCTTTCTCATGCTGCCTTAGTCTAACATTGACTCTCCTGCCCCCTTCTTCCACCTAGAAGGACCCTGTGATCACATTGGCCCTACTCAGATATCCCAGACAACCTCCCTATTGTAAAGTCAGCCGATTAGCAACCTTAATTCCCTTTGCTGTGCAACGTGACATATCCTCAGGTTCCAGGGAGTGGGAGTGGACGTCTTCTGGTGTGGGCATTATTCTGTCTACACCGACAGGGATTTCACTACTTGTTCCCAAACACGGTCTGCACTCTCAAGGCTTGATCCGTGGCTCATGCAGCTCCCTCTGCCTGAAATTCTCCCTCCTCTGCCTGTCAACATTCTAACCCTATGAATGCAGATGCCCCATCTCTGGTGATGCCTTTGCTTCCCTTCGCCCCTCTTCAGAGCCTTCACACCCTTCCGAGCACTTCTCCCTTGCTGACGTTCTCCTAGTCACCTGGGCGCTTGCCTGTCTCTGCAGCTGATCTTGGGATCCTGGGGGCAGAGCCTAGTCATATTCTTTGTCATGCTGCTCCGTGCCGAGCCCAGTGCCTGGCACCCATCAGGCTTGTTGAATGGAAAAGTGATCTCCATCTTCAGTCAAGAAGTCAATGACCTCTTAAGATAAATTTCATAATTATATTTAACAGTGTTTTCCAACATGCCCATAAAATGACATCTGTGTGTGTGTGTGTGTTGCAAATTAAATCTCCACTTGTCTTTAGGGTTGGATGTTTGTTATATCCACCAAGTTGTGACCTTATCAGTTCCCGCTTTAGAAGTTATACTTGGAGAAGATACTCATAAAACACACCCACTTTGGCAAAAGAAAAAACCTGTTTTCACCAGAAGCAAGTGTCCCAGTGTGGTGTAGACACTGATGAGCACAGCCCGTTGAAATGATTTATGGTGTTTATGTAATGGAAAAGCATATCATCCAGAGAAACATGCCCTAAGCAAAGGGAGAGGAGGGAGGGAAGGAGAGGTCAATGACCCGTTTCCTTTGTCTTTTGAAGAGCCCAGATCCCTAGAGGTCAGAGAGATGGAGCTCAAGGGCAGCCAGCTCTAGCACATGGAGCCACGAGCCCTGTTAATACTATAAACTGGGTTTCTCTTGATCTTTTTACAGGCCAGACAAACCCTAGAACTGTACCCGTGCACCTCTGAAGAGATCGATCATGAGGACATCACCAAAGATAGGAGCAGCACAGTGGCGGCCTGCCTGCCCCTGGAGCTAACCCCGGTAAAGACACACCCTCCCTACCCATGCTATACCGTTAGGAGCTGCCTCACCCTCATCTTCCTCCACAAATGTACACGTTTCTGGTCCCCATCATCATGGGACTTTAACAGGTCCCACTTCAGAAGTCAGATTTGAAAAAAAAAATTATAAAACAAATTGGTTTTTTCACAACAGTGAGAATATGCTTAACACTACTGAACTCTACACTTAAAAATAGTTAAGACGGTAAATTTTGTTACGTGTTTTAAAGATATGTCTGAGAAGAAAAGTCAGAAAAATGTATATTGAGAATTAATATCTTTGCTGTGTGATTCTTTTTCTCTAGAATGAGAGTTGCCTGGCTTCCAGAGAGAGCTCTTTCGTAACTGTAAGTCAGAAAATTAAAGGTTTCAGCCCATGTTATGAATTCATATCATTGATGTCTGATAACTTTTTCTTCTAGAATGGGAGTTGCCTGACCTCCGGAAAGGCCTCTTTTATGATGGTAAGACACAAAATTCTTTCCTCAAATGTAATGAGGGGGAAACGTTTTCAGCCCATCTCACAGGTTCCTTTCTCATTTTGTCACATCACCAGACCCTGTGCCTTAGCAGCATCTATGAGGACTTGAAGATGTACCAGGTGGAGTTCAAGGCCATGAATGCAAAGCTTTTGATAGATCCTAAGAGGCAGATCTTTCTGGATCAGAATATGCTGGCAGCTATTGATGAGCTGATGCAGGTAAGGCCTTCATCCTATCGAGGGAGCACCTTCTTCATGCTGAGACAGCCAGCCAGGGTCCTTAAGAAGTATAGGATCAGCCCTTCCTGGACTGGGAGAGGCCCGAAATGCTCCTTGTAAAGGCCCTGCAGAGCCTCGTTCTGCAGGGCAGCCTCTAGAGAGGCCTCACGTGAGCCGTCACGTGCAGGGAAGCAGCCTCCGCTTGTCGGCCGCTTGGTATGCACCAGGCTCTCTGCAAACATTGCCATACATTTTCCTATGTCGTCCTCACGACAGCCGTATGGGGTCTGTACCAAGGAGGAAACCAAAGCTGAGGGAGCCAGCCGCTTGTGTGAGGTCACACAACGTGTAAGTGTAAGCTAGGATGTAAGCCCCATCACAGGACCTCCACGCCACTGATATTCTCACCTCCAGAAGCTGCAGGGTGTGCATGCAGGGGCCAGCATGCACAGCTGCAATATTGCAAGAGAAGACAAGCGGCTAGTGCCTGCATATGACCCATTTTGAGTTAAAATGTGAATGAAATAAAAGAGTGACCTATCACCGGGGAACATCCCCAATGTTGTTCATCGACAAGAACTTGCTTTGTAATTTTCTGAATCACTGTAGCACATGACGCTCATAGAAAACAGAAATACTCACATAAGAAGGAGCAGGGTGAGTGCCTTGGTGACCAGGGCATGGGATAAAAAGATGGTGTCGGAAATCATTGTCTGAAAAGGAATTTATTTATATTTCATTCATTCATTCATTCTTTTTTTTGGTGCCAAATTTCCTGTTTGAAAGGCAGTGAACTTCACACAAATGTCAAGAACATTACCATCTAGAGAGCTGTAAATGATACTTCATTTTGAGGTTAACAGTCAAGTGATTGGGGTGGTGGAGTCAATTCTGCCAGTCATCAGCCATTTATCCCTCTGTGCCTCTGTTTTCCTCTGTAAAATGGGATGACTTTACCCATCTACCTTTCTTTTAGTCTTTTTGTGAGGAACAAATGAAGGTATTGATCATTGTTCAAATATAAGGTCTTGGGTTGTGTTATCAAATTAAAGGGCTAAAACTGGGGGATCTGTTGCCAGGTGTATTTATCTGACACACATGAGTGTCTAGTAAACAAGTCTGTCACTGATAGTTCTGGTCAACAGCAGTCCATCACCTCTCTCTTCTACAAAGGACTTGGTTTCTTCATGTGACACGTGAAAATTAATTAGTGCTGCAGACAGCATTGTAACAGAACTGCTCCTTGCTAAAGTGCGGCTCCCACCAAAGATTTTCTAAATGGCTTTAAGGTGTCTTCAGAGCTCAATGAGGCACACATGCTTAGATCACAAGTGTGTCTTCTTTCAGGCTCTGTCTGCCATCTGGCTGGGAGTCCACTTGGGCTGGGTCTAGGAGACGTAATGAGGAGTGGGTTGCGGGCTCTGAGACATGTATTGGTTTTGCCCATTTTTACCGATGAATGTTTTAATTTTGGAATACCATATATGTCATGCTCAATCTTTATTCTCCTAGGCCCTGAATTTCAGCAGTGAGACTGTGCCACAAAAGCCCTCCCTTGAAGACCTGGATTTTTATAAAACTAAAATCAGGCTCTGCATCCTTCTGCACGCCTTCAGAATCCGTGCGGTGACCATCAACAGAATGATGAGTTATCTGAATTCTTCCTAAAACGCGCAGGTCTCTCCCAACTTTAAAGTCATTTTTATAAGAATTTGAACCAAAGAAATTTTAATAGGATGTGGGTTAAGAACCGGGGAGGGGGTGGCTGACCTGGTGCCACTTAAGCTGGTACAGGATTCTCATGCTTGTTTGCATTACTCATCCCAGGATGTGGAGGATGTCACTGTGATATCCACACGATTCCTTTCAAGGAATATTTCACATTTACCACGGATAAGTTGTTTTTAAGTTTTCATGAGCAAATTGCTAAGGAGGGGAAAATGTCCTCACTGAACATGTTTTTCTTTTCCCTTTAATAGAAGAGCAAGAATTTATAAGCTATTTCTGTATCAAAGTGTTTATAGAAACAAACACTCAAGTATAATTTATTTTAAAATATTTATTTATATAATTTTGTGTTCATGAAAGCATGTGAACAAACTTATATTTATTTATTTCATATTTATTAAAATATTTATTATCAAATGGATTTGAGAGATACTTTGTTGTTCTACAAATAAAATGATTGAATTAAAGTAATTCTCATGCTTTTCTGATGTAATTGGAATACTTTTAGTGTTAAAACACACATTGTGGGAAAACTGAAAACTCTGATGAAATTTGAACAAGATGACCTTGGAAAGAATGCCACAATATCCCTGCTCATTTCCTAGTCTGTTTAATCTCGTATTTTAGAGAGAGCCTCGTGAGACTAGATATGCTTTAACACTGAGGCCAAGGAGTGAGTTCTGGTTTTTGAGAGTATAGTTTATTATTTTTGTTCAACATCTGAATGTAAAAGTAAAATACATAAAAATGTTTTTCCCTGTTAACCACAGTCCCATAACATACTGTGCATTAGACAAATACATAATAATATCCTCCAACTGGGAAAAACAGCATTAAGAGGCCATCTAGTTAAATGATTCTAATTTTTGTGACCCTTTGGGCCATCAGGGGGAAGTTGTTTCTAAATTATGAGAAAAACTCTCCATTTGCTTTAAATTATATAGAACTTCTGCCTGAACCACATGGATAATTGCCTTGCTTTTGCTTAAGAGATGTGCTCTTAATAACCCAAATAGTAAATTCCATCTTTTTAATTCTCTAAGCTATGTGAATTTTAAAAGGGTCACCTGACAGAATACCATGTAATTTTAGTACTCTGATAATCATACTCCTCCTTAATATGAAAAGGCCATAAGAAACGAACTATTTAGAGTTCCCTCCTTTCCTCACGTGACTCCTCCTCACCAGATCCCAGTTCTTATCCCTGTGGACTGTGCGGGGAATGTGTATGGCCACCCCAGGTCTTCATCTGTGTGGCAAACTTACTCGTTTTTTTAGATTCTCACCCCACTTGATATACAATTACTAGATAGAAATCACTGGACACTAGATCCCATCGCATATCTCCTTTTCTTGAAGGGTTCCTGCACAAGCTTGAATGTTCTTCAAGTGGTGCACAGACAGGAGTTTCTTGCCTTTAAGTGTAAGGTTTGGGGTTTCAGCAGCTTTGACTGTGGGAAGAAGAGCCTGATGGCAAAGTGGGGCAGGGCTGTGGAGCTGCTGCCATCCCACACGTGGGGAACGGCGACGCATCCGCTGCCTGGCAGGTTGTCGGTGCCCAGAAACAGGAGAGGCAAGCAGATAATATACCTTATGGATTAGGTTTATACAGAGGAACACAGGTGTTACTTTTGTTCTAGAAATTACCATGGCGTATGCTTCAAAAACATGATTGGCCCAAAAAAAGTCTTCACAACTGATTCCATTCTTCATTACATGGTTAGTTTTCCACTTTTTTCTTTTAAGCCTGGGTCTACAAGTTGTCTAACATGACCAAGTTGTTTTAACCTCTCCCTACCTGTTTCCTCTTCTAAGAAATGAAGATAATATACCAGCACAGACCTCAAGGGATCAGAACAAGGATTAAGTGAACAGCTCATACAAAGCACTCACATTGCACCTGGCAGATAACACATGCACAATAAACGTGAGCAATTTTTGAAAATTACTATTAGTCTTTGGGCTTGGCGACTGGGCCAAATGACTTAAACCTTCTTTGCTACTATTTTATCTGTGACATTCAGAAAACTGTCGCCCCTATTTCACAGTGCTATTGTGAGGAGTAAAGGACACAGTGCAGGGCTGGCATCTAGTCAGTGCTCAGCATTGATATTTTAAATTGTTAGATTGTTGGCTTGAAGACCTCAGCACACCCTGTCCTCCACAGCACTCAGCGCAGCACAGCCACTCAGTAGAGGAGGCTGTCTGGTGTAAGACAAGAGGGCAAAAAGGCGGGGCCCCCACCTTCACAGAACAAAAGTGGGTAGTAGCAAAGTCATTTAGTAAGACCAAGCTCCCCCTAAAAATATTCTCCAGTCCTAGCCTACTAGAGACTCACTTGATTAACAAGTTACTTTTTCAAAAATGAAGAAAAACAGTGACAGTGTTTCTTACACCTGAGAATGACTTAATCAGAGAATTAACACAAAAAACAGCTGACAGCTGCCCCACTGAGGGCCCAGAGCTTTGAGGAAAGGGGACAGTTCTGGTGAGCAGTCTTGCCAGACGTTCAAAGGTATTGGACAACTCAAGAGACGCAAGATGGCCTTAGACACTCTAAGGAGGAAAGAGAACGTGGGGACAAATAGGGAAGAAAGCCAGCTTTGTCTGGGCCAGCACCAACGGAGGTTGAGAGTCCTTCTGGCCGTGCCAACCCGGACCAGTGTTGGCCTTGTTTCAGGACTAAATATTTGGTTCTAGCTAACACAAGTTTGGCTTCCTAGTTTAAGGCAAAGCATACTACAATGTTTCTGTGGACTGAATATTTGTGTGCCCCTAGAATCCATATGCCCTGATCCTCAGCGTGACGGGATTAGGAGATGGGGCCTTTAGGGGTCAGTTAGGTCATAAGTGTGGAGTCCTCAAGATGGCAAAAATGTCCTTATAAGAAGAGACTCGGAGAGATCTCCCCACCCCCACGCGAGGACACAGTGGCAGGGGGCCATCTGCAAACCAGGGGGAGAGCCCCCACCAGACACCAAGTCTGCCAGCACCCGGTTCTCAGACTCCCCAACCTCCAGAACTTTGAGAAATAAATGTCTGTTGTTTAAGCCATCCAGTTTATGGTATTTTGTTGTACTAGTCTTAGCTGAGAAAACTATTTTAAACAACAAAAAAAACCCAACCACATTTTTTAAAAATTGACTTGTATCACTTTTTGGTTGAAATGTATTTGGTAAGAACAAGTCAAAACCTTCAGTTATATTTCCGTATCTTTGAGTATGACACTAAAATTATGAGTGTGTTATGACATCACTCTGACATCAGGGAGAATATGCTCATGCACCCTTTTACAGAAGCAACGGGAGCCGATGCTCATCATGACCTTACGAGACGCCACAGAGGCAGAGTCCTCCCAATCACCCCACGAGGAGGACTGTCGCCTTCCCCTTTTCATAGAAAGGAAACTGAGGCAAGAGACCGGATAAGCTTGCACGATGAATAAACGACAGATGCTGTGATTTCAACCCGGTCGGCCTGCTTCCAGCCTGTGCGCAATTACCGCACCCTTTTGCCTCTCACATTAAGGACGCGTCAGGTCAAGGGACACTTTCATCACGACCACACACACGTCGTCACAGTGACTTATGCGTCTCCTCTCTCCCATACTGCACGTGAGGACCTCAAGTAGAGCAAACGTCACATCACTTGTGCACTTGTGATCTCAGGCCCTGCCACTCAAAAGTGGGAGAGAGAAACGCAAATCTTCATGGGTGCCCACAGGTTTCTCATTTCTTTTTGTAATCTAGCAAGAAACTAAAAAATCTTCAGTCTTTAAACATCAAATTATTCCCAATTACAAAAAAAGTTAAAAATTGCAAAACGCACATGCTTGCTTGGTTCCAAACAATTATATATGCTTATAACGGGGGAAACTACAAAATTCATAAGCCTGTTCATTGAAATAATTTACAGATCTCTGGTTTGGATGATGTGGTTACTAACCTTCAGAAACAACATGCCGACAAAACACACATGCTGTGAGCTGGGAAGTGGTTTCCTTCCTGCAACAGATGTCTCAACAACAGACTCCAGGGTGACAGTGTCGAGACCCAAGCAACCATCTCCTCACTGGTCCCACACCGCCCCCGACAGCGTGGGTCAGGGGTCCAGCAGGCTCCCTAGTAACCCCCCAGAGCAGCTCCACTCTCACATGCTTCCCTAGTGTGGGTTCCAGGCAAGATTTCCTTTCACAAATGGCTTCTACAGCTAAGGAAAAGTTAAAAATTCACTGAACTAGTCCAAGCCCTCCCCTACAGTTAAGTTTTTATAAGCAACAAAACCATCTTTTAGATTTCCCAACTTGTTTGAAAACAAAACCCTGCTACAAATGCATAGAGCACACCCCTGTCTAAAAATGAACCCCATGCCAGGGGTTATAGCAAACAGCAAGAATGGACTTCCACAAAACAAAGATGGCTAAATTACTCCAGCCTGTCTCACTAGGAATTTACATCCTGATTGGAACACATCACATCTAAAGCCACTGGAATCCACAGGGTGGCGCTGGAGGTCCCAGTTAAGAAGCAGCAAGAGGGACCAGCACGGTGGTGTAGGGGTTAAGTGTGCACACTCCGCTTTGCCGGCCCGGGGTTCGCAGGCCCGGATCCCGGGTGCGGACAGATGCACCCCTCATCAAGCCATATTGTGGCAGGGGTCCCATATCAAGTAGAGGAAGACGGGCATGTATGTTAGCCCAGGGCCAATCTTCCTCAGCAAAAAGAGGAGGATTGGCAACAGATGTTAGCTCAGGGCTGATCTTCCTCACCAAAAAAAAGCAGAAGGAATGTCAGAACTCCATGCTCAGAATTTAACCCAGGGCCTCTATTTTAGTATCAACAGCTGTAGAGCCGTTATCAGAAAGGCTCAAACCCTGATACGTGCGCTAGAAAAGACACTCCCAGCAGCAAATCCCTAGTCACCCAGTCGCGGTTGTGCCCTCTGGCAAGGAATGCACTGCTTCACCCCAGGAAGGACTTCCAGCAACCGGCAGATGGCTGGGCCAACGGCTGAACACCACCATCCTCACGAAACCACATTTAAGAATCAGCAAATACAGTGGCTTCCTTAGAAAATGGAGTGAATACGCACACTTCCACATGATAAAGCAGGGGAGGGAACTTTTCCCCTAAAGCAACACAAAAATAACAAAATGAGTCCCAAATGTGCAGAAAAATCCTGTTAGCAAGATGCACAGGTAAGGGACTAATACGAGTCAGCCTGGTTTTAAACAAAAACACAACTTCCCTTCGCCAAGGGCCGGGGCAGGCGGGAGGAGATCTGACAGCACTCCCACAGGGAGGAGGGCGGGGGCAGGCGGAGCCTCCTGACGCCGAGCAAGCTCCTGGGGAAACGCGTCTGCCTGGGTACAATCGCTCGGCCGCAGCCCAGGAACTGGAGAGCGGGGTACAGACCCAACTGATGCCCACAGCCAAGATAGCAGCAACTGAGGAATATGACGCTTTACAAAATAACCTGTAAGTAAATAACAACACAAAGAAGACACAGCACTGTGTAAATGCAGATTTATTTTTCTTCCCTTCACCCATAGTATGAGAAAGGTTGAAAACTGTTAGGAAACCAGCGTATATACAAAGCACCGCTGAAATTATACTTTTCGTTGGAAAACAACTTATAAACATTTAAAAATTCAAGTCCTTTATGTATTTTACACTTCTGAATATTTAAATTTTACGTTTCCTAAAATATAATACAATTTAAAAAAAATCTCATAAAGTGACACTGATTTGAAGTCCACAGGATCCCTGGCAATTAAAAATATGTTCTTCCCTATAAAGTAAATTCGTTCTTCACAGGCAAAGCTATAGTTAAAGTGTGTTTCTCTGATTAATTCATTGAGATTTATTTTACTCTCCAGCTAACATCTACAGAAGATAAATGGTAATTTAGTTTCTTCAAATAAGTTAACAAAATGTATCCAAAATGTTAATCACCACATACATGATTCTGGGACAGTGATAATATCTATATATCCCCAAAAAACCATTTCACCAATTAAGAAGAGTCAATGGGCCCATTATTCCCTGGGGCAAGTCTTCTTCAAGAAGAGATCACAGTCTTCCCTCAGTCCTGCTAAGGCTATTTCTGAGTGGAATTTTCCCCCCAGAAAGTAAATGACCCCAGGGCGAAAGTCAAGAAATGTAGTGCTTGGCCTGGTGACTTTGGAAGGTTGATGAAACTCGCAGGGGCTCCCTGATGGTCGATGCAACTGAACTCCCAGGGAGACGAGATCACTCCTAAGCGGGCATGCCAACACCGTGATGGGGGAGATTACACTTCCTGATCACTCCAGGACCAGGTAACACGACTGGGTCAACGGTTCAACAGACCGCTAGCCAGACAGGTCAGCAATGTGAGATATGAAAATCACTTCCCACATAAACAGATACATTGTACCGGGGGCACGTGTGTCTGTGTGGGAGCTAAAAGAATAGGAACCTCTCTTCATTAATGTCAACATGAAAAAAGCTAGACTAAATTGGTGCAAGTTTAAGTACACCACCACTTAATTGCCAAAAATGTTTCAAACACTTGATATGAATTTCATAGTTCACAGACTCCAAAAAGAAGATGACCACATTTCTCACTGGCTGAGGGGAGTCCCTTTGCACAGCTGTGTAAGCATACCAGTGGGGAGCACGGTGGGATAGTGCGAGCAGGAGGGGCAAAAAACATCTTGATATTATAGAAGTTTTTTCCTCCTCAAGTTTTCCAAATATTTTACATTCTCTTTGCCCCTGAACAGTGTGAGCTATAGAGTGGCTGACTGTAAACGGAGTTGCCTTCACAGACGGTGAAGTTCAAGGTCTCATCAAGTCTATACCCACTACCAGTTGAAATGGTCTTGTGCAGATAAAAGTTCCTGAGGCTTCTTTTTCAGTTCATCTTCCAAACTTCACGTTCCCTGTAAGAAACCTAACAAAACAGAGAACCAAACAAATTCAGGGATTCATTGTTGGGGAAAAAGGTCCACGCTTTTAAAGACAACCACTTGTCCACTTCAAGAAAGAACTCCGGGAAGTGGTTAGGTTTTCATGGGCTGAAAATAAGCCACTGCAATTTAAAGGCTGTGGCTGTAAGATACTAAAAAGCCCTGATGAAAATACAAAACTCAGCCAATTTACTAGATCTTTTGGCTACATGAGAGCATAAGATATCGGTAAATTTGGGGGGTTTTGTTTGTTTTTAACTCACAGAAGATTTTTTTCTCCTATTGAATGAGGGAATTGGACAAATAAGCTTTTATGATCCCTTTCACTGCTAAAAAATGTCACAAACCCTTTATAGTTCTAATGTATCAGAAGTCAAGTGTCTAGGAAGGCCAGGAGCAGATAACAACAAAAGAACAAAATAACAACTTATTATGGAGGGTTTGTGAGAAGGATCTTCCGAGCTTCTTTTTGATGGAAGAGACTGGCTATCACAGCACAGCAGCCACTGCTGTCAACAGGCAGAAACTGTATGCAGATGAGCAGATCTCCACAGGTGGGCCTCAGTCATTACGTAATTTCAACATATCCAAGAGTAAGAAGGAACAATTTGATATTGAAACTAGCTATTCTATTTCCTCAGGGCTCCTGCACCCAGGGTCTACAGGGGAGTTCAGAAAGCTTGCCCACCATGGCTGGAAGCATCCTGTGAGATCACTGAGGGCTGTTCCTTTTCCTATAAACTCTTGGGGCATTAACACACTTTCACATTCTTTTTTGGAATAAAAAGTCCAAATAGAATTCCAAACGAAACCTCTCTGTGGCTTGGTGAGGCTTCTGAGAAGTAACACTACATTTATTAACTACCGTAACAACAGAGAATAATAAAACTTTTGAGTTGGTTTGACCTTGCGTATAACAATGTGCTAAGTCAAGCCACAAAAAAAGAAGTGCTTAAAAACAAAGGAAGGAACCGTGTGGTTTTCTGGATTGAGACTAGAAACAACTCCCTGAGCCCTCGCTGGGCTCTGCTGTTTCCCTTCCTTTCTCTCAGCTGGAGGCTCACGGGTGCCACCCAGTGGCCTTCCCCAGTACTGCTTCAGCACCACAGAAGGCCCAGAAGGCTCAATGCTACCAGTCACGTGTGGAGTGCCATCGTGTCATTCACATCCACCCCTGACTGAGCCTTCCTACCGGCCTGGAGCTTTACATGCACTACCTGTTTTCATTCTCACAACCCTAGGACACACAGGGTTTTGCATCCATTTGACAGACGGGAACAGAGAGGCATAACGTTAGGTTAAGAGTTTGCCTCGTCACAAAACTGGCCGGCACTTGGGCTGGGATTTGAACTCTTCCCAACTCCACGCACAAATCCTCTCTCCTTAGACGATGGCAGCCCACATGCTTACTGCCGTATCTGCATACTTCTCTGAACCACGCTTATCCATAGCCAAGCAACACATTCCATAGCAGAAATTTGCTAATCGCAAAGACATGGCTTGATTCCGAGTCAACGACTAATGCAGACAATTCCTGCTCACCTTTCAGCACGTCCTGGACTTCCACTGGGGCATTTCTCAAGCAGCTGTATAAATTCTGGGCTGTGGCATTACCCTGCTCCTTTTCTTGCCACTTCTTCAGCATCTTAAAGTTACAGATCGTAACGTCTTCTCTCTTCTCCTGCATATCATCAATATCTCGGGTCTCCAGCTCCAGGTTGGCAGCGGCGACTTTTCTCCACTCCTTCCCCAGCTTCCCAGCGAGGGTGATCAGCTGAGCATCTGTTAGCAGGGCTCTGGCCTTCACTCCATCTGAAAGCAGACGAGGAATTCAGCAGTTCCTCTGACCACTTCAAGCACTTGTAACAATTTATAATGAAAATGTAGTCTCCTTATATAAGTAAGGACACCATGAATTCTAACTTTAACTGATTTTAAAATATGTTTAAATGCCGAAAAATCCCTGCTTTCCAAACTATTGTAAGGACTGAAGGGAACTATTTCATATAGTAACACTAAACCGGGGTATAATGTTCACAGTGATAATCAGTAAGTCGGGGAATAAGAGTGTTTTACAAAGCAGTACAAATTACGCTAGAATAAAAAAAAAAATCAGAGACCAAAAATAATTTACGTGGCGCAAAAAGAAAAGCATACAGCTCTGCCCTTGCCCAGCTGTGTGTCTTTATGCAACGTCAGCACCACAAACAGAGGCCACCGCAGAGCTCACTACAGGGTGTGGCAGAACAGAACCGCAGTCTCCACTGCACCACCTCCTGGCATTCCGGGAAAAAACACATTCCACGGAAGAGTCATGGGATGGTATCTGTGTTATCGGTTGATCCCTAAGAAACAGTGTCATAATCTTGGAAGGGCATATGTTTGCCAGTGCAAAACACTGGCCTCATGAAAATGTTTGCCCTATCATTAAGCTACATTTTCTACTTTCATATTTTTTAGCCGGCTGTGCTCTGGTGCAGCAAAGCTCACTGGCTGCAGAGTTCTGGGTAAGGATCCTCAAAGCATTACACTGGAGGGGATGCTGGAAGGGAGTGAGAGGTAAGAAGAGTACTTCCTGCTCCTCCTCCGGAACCACAACACCTCTGCTCAACTACAGCCAACCATTTATTAATGTGAATCGAACATTTGTGCCTGAACCCTTCCCCACTCTTTTACTTTCTAGGCTGAAGAACAGGGTCCCTAAAGATGGCCTGTGCCCTCTAGTGTTTCCTGACACGTGGTCGGCTGCTCCTAGCTCTCATAACTTCTGACACAAGGAAAACTGCACAGGGAACCTACTGATCGTCAAGCTCTCAGGACCACCACAAGGCCCACTGCATCAGACTCTGAACCTGAATGTTAGCGGGTCTCAAGGTGATGCTGCTAAGGCTGAGTGCCGACCATATTTTAAAAAGCAACACAGTGATATACTGAGTAAAAAAATATCAGGGTAGTGACTCAATATCTCAAAGAATGTTGTGAAAATACCTAAACAAAAGTAAACCTTGATTCATTTATTTAGATACCACATTGTCAACTCCAAAAAGGTTGGAAATTCTTAATCTATGTATTATTTAATAATTCGAATTCCATTTCTAGTTACTTGCTATTGGAGCTAATTTTAAATAGCCAAATAATTGCATGAAACAAGAAAAACTTTTCCTATATGTCAATCTAACATAAAATTGTGTCCCACTCAGTTATAAGATGAATAAGTCTGAGGATCTAATGTACAGCATGGTGACTGTCTCTAACAACAATGCACTGTATACTTGGAATTCACTGAGAGTAGGTCTTAACATTCTCACCACCAAAAAAAAAGGTAACTATATGAGGTGATAGATGTGCTAATTAACTTGATTGGAAAATATTTCACAATGTATATATCAAATCATCACATTGTACACTGTAAGTATACACAATTTTATTAGTCAATTATATCTCAATAAACCTAGAAAAATGTATTCCAATTTAGTTAGGTCTTAAAAATAATTCCAGAGTCTCACTTATTTTGATGTTCACTTAATAAAAATAACATTAAACAGTTCTACAGTGATACGCAGTAAAACCACACACCTGTCACCCTCACAGCCTCCTGCTCTAGAAACTGAAGAGTATCTTATTTCACTTGGTAGAGAAACAATTTATCTGCTTTTAGACATTCATACCTTACAATAATAGTAAAAGAAAAGGTACTTTGATGGAAGGGTTAACTTGGGGAGCTACATAAGGCTCCTAAAGCTGTGAGACTTTGTCTCATGAGTCTGAGTTTCTAAACTGAGGTTTGTGAGTTCTGGTTGGACTTGAATTTTGAGCTATACAGTCCATCTTCTGGGTCCTCAGAGAACTGTTGTTAAATGTTTTAAATCTCTATTGTATTTTCACGACTACTGAGCCTTGGTCTCTGCCATTTAATTGGAAGAAATTGAGACTTGCCTCCAATAATTGAGCTGGAGGTTCTCCACCCCAGATGCAGCTGACAACTGTGAAGCCAATGAGAGCTCACGCGGACATTCAGTTTCCTCCATTCAATCAACACTCATTGTCTTCTACATAAGAGCCCATGCTCAGAGGGATGGGAATCGTAAAGATGGACAGACCATGGTCCCTACCCTTACGGCCTGTAAGGGAGCTCCCCCCAACCCCCTATTCTACTTTGAGTGAAGGGGAGGAGTAGGGAGTCAAGCTGGCAAAGTCCTGGGGCAGACCAAGGAGGACCTCACCCAGGCCTGGGGAGCCACAGGGAAAAGGCACCCAGGGCGACAGGCAGAACTGGGATGCGGCTGCAGGAAGCGCGAGCCACCAGCGTGTGTGTGGGATGAATGTCAACGGCAGAGACCAGGGAAAAATAATTTATACCACTGATGACATTTTTACAAACCTGAAGTGTCAACCTGCTTCATTCTTTTATCATAGGCCTCCTCATCAGGTAAGCTGCTACTCAATTTTCGTCGCCTGTTACCTTAAAAAAAAAAAATCAACAAGTTGGCTTTCCCTTATGTTTCTTATTTCCTACCCACCTCCCATCTGGAATTTCTTGTTAAATCATCATTCGGGTAGAAACAAATTGAAACAGGTTCAAAGGTTGTTCAGATGATTGAGAGCGCTACAGAACATGTAACAGATCCTTCGCAAGACCACGTCCTTCGCAAGACCACGTCTGCACAGCAAAACAAACCTCCCAGCAGACGGAAGGAGCAGTGAGTCCAGTTACCAGCACTTACCACCTGTGCTCCTTTTCGAACTGTTCCGATCCTGATCATGCTGAACCCAGTCACCTGTTAAAGCACAATGAGCATCAACTGGAGAAGCAACATGGAACGTGAACCACAGAAAGCAATCAGTGAAAGCGTGTGCAGCTCTCAAGTCTCGGCAACCTCTCTGCAGCTCAAGTATGAGTCTGGGGCTTGAACTCGGTACATGCACAACGCACTTGGCTTGAATTTTGAGATAAATAACCAGTACTCCTTCCAACAGGTCTATGGGGCAAGTGCTTCCCAAACTAAGTCATCTGCCTGCCACTGTGTGGTTTTTGTCACACCCATATGCCAGGTGAAAGGTTACTTATCTAGTATGTCTTTAAATTTATACCTGTTACTGTAAACAGAACACTGGTATCACCTGCCATATGGAGAAGGAAGCCATAAAAGTAAACACTTTTTATTTTAAATGTATTTATATGTAGTCCACCTAAAACAATCTTCTATATTATCACGCTGTACTCGGGGAGTTCTTCCTGGACACGTCGCTGTGACTCTCCACCACCTCCCTGTTTGGAATTCAGCCCCTGCTCTAGGAGGTGTCTCGTCTGATGCAGGCCACTTCACGATGAAGTGAAGACACCTTCATTGTGATGACTGATCTCAACCATTAGCTTAATCTAAAAAAATACTGGAGATCAGAAACCTCTTACAGTGTAGAGTATAATTAAAGGAGTTTAAAAACATCAAACATAAGAGGTCTTATAAAGTGGTCTTTAAAACGACGAAGAGATTCATGCCCAGTCTGGAAGAACACTTGTTGTCCAGGTTGCTCCACAGTGAGGATCTCTGTTCCTGTGGCATTTGCTGCGATTAAAAAGAAGCATCTGAGGGGCTGAGGAGGCGCAGAAGCCCAGAAGCTGAAGACGGAGGCACCACAAGCACTGAGACGAGAGTTTAAAGAATATGTCGAGGAGTGACGCCAGCATCATGGTGGGGTGAGTTGTGCCCACTGTCCCTCCCATTTAAGTTACAACTAAATGGACATTCATTGACCAGCAGAGGACTCCCTGCACAGCACAACAGGACGTCTGAGAGATCCACGCGGCCGTGCATGTGAGGGTGGGTGGACTGGATCCCCAGGAGCCAGTGGAACTAGGTGAGCACAACCATCCCCTTCCCCGGTAGCAGCGATCCAGGTCCCAGATCCGCACACAGTGGCTGGTGCAACTGTAAGAGGAGGTGGGGGACAGCCTGGCCTGCGCAAACGCTTTTGGAGTTGCAGCCTGGCCCGTGGGAGTACCCACCATGCCATGTGGGCCCCACCCCTGGGAACGCTCCTCACCAAGTGGCGTGGTTCAACCCCCACGAAGGAACCCCCACCAAGTGCAGTGGCTCAGCCGCGCTGCCCGCAAGCACAGAGCCGGCCCTCAGGCAGAAGAAAGCACCCCACCCCTCCCCCCGGCACACCAGCTCAGCCAGTCCCTGCAGAGTGCAGTGGTCCCACACCAGACAGACCCGCGGGCAGAGCACAGAGGCCCCGCCTGCACGTGCACGCATGACCCGCCAAGCAGCTGCGGCCAGCGCACGAACGCAGAGAAGCCCTGCCGGCACAACTTCCAGCAGATGGGGCAGGGTCACCAAACACAGCTCCTGCCCCCACCCCAGCGGTGGCAGGTGGAATCTGTGACCTGATACCACCACAAAGGCACTGGCAAAAGATCACGTCATCAAACACCAGGAAGAACTACAGTAACACTGCAGTGCAGAAAGAAGATGACAAGTCTCCAGAAACCAATCCTGAACTCACAGAAATTTACAACCTAAATGGCAGACAACTCAAAATAGCTGTCATAAAAAACTCAACGAGCTACAAGAAAACTCAGAAAGACAGTTCAATGAGCTCAGGAATAAAATTAATGAGCAGAAGGAATACTTTACCAAAGAGAGTGAAACTCTTAAAAAAAAAAAAAAAAACAGAAATTCTGCATATGAAGAACACAATTAATGAGATAAAAAATAATCTAGAAACCATAAAAAATAGAGCTGACATTATGGAGGACAGAATTAGTGATTTCGAGGAAAGAAATATAGAAATGCTTCAGGTGGGGGAAGAGAGAGAACTAAGATTTTTAAAAAATGAAGAAATTCTTCGAGAAATATCCGACTCAATTAGGAAAGGCAACATAAGGATTATAGGTATTCCAGAAGGAGAAGAGCAGGAGAAAGGAGCACAGAACTTATTCAAAGAAATAACAGCTGAGAACTTCCCAAACCTGGGAAAGGAACTGGACTTATAAGCACATGAAGCCAATAGAACTCCTAATTATATCAATGCAAAAAGACCTTCTCCAAGGCATGTAATAGTAAAACTGGCAAAAGTCAATGACAAAGAAAAAAATATTAAGGGCAGCAAGGCAAAAGAAAACAACCCACAAAGGCACCTCTATCAGGCTTTCGGTGGATTTCTCAGCAGGAACCTTATAGGCTAGGAGAGAATGGGATGATATATTCAAAATTCTGAAAGACAAAAACTTTCAGGAAGAATACTCTATTCAGTGAAACTATTCTTCAGATATGATGGAGAAATAACAGCTTTCCCAGATTAACAAAAGCTGAGAGAGTTCATTGCCACTAGACATCCCCTACAAGAAATGATGAAGGAAGTCATTCTACCTGTAACAAAAAAGGAAACATTTACAAAACCTTGAACAAGGAGATAAATAGACAGAATCAGAAAACTGCAGCTCTATATCAGAATAGGTCAGTAAACAATTATAAAAGACGAAAGGAAGGAAAACATCAAAAATAACTAAAAACACTTCAATTTAGTCACAAACTCACAACACAGAAAAGAACAATTTGTGACAACAATAACTCAGAAGGGGAAGAGGAAACGGACTGAATCTGCTTAGGCTAATGTAGATAAAAGGCTATAAGAAAATGGACTATCTCGGGGCTGGCTCAGTGGCGAGAGTGGTTAAGTGCACGAGCTCCACTTTGGCGGCCCAGGGTTTGCAGGTTCAGATCCCGGGCGCGCAGTGACGCACCGCTTGTCAAGCCATGCTGTGGCGGCATCTCATATAAAGTGGAGAAAGATGGACATGGATGTTAGCTCAGGGCCAATCTTCCTCACCAAAAAAAAAAAGAAGAAAGAAAGAAAATGGACTATCTCATCCATGAGATCTTTTATACAAACCTCATGGCAACCACTAAACAAATAATCAGAGCAGAGCCACAAATCACAAAATAAGAGAAAACTGAGAAAACCAACACAGAAAACCACCAAACTGAAATGGCAATCAGAAATACAAGGGAAGAGACAAGTCAAGATGGCAGCGTAAGCAGACTCTGAACTCACCTCCTCCCAAGGACACAGCCAATTTACAACTACTCTTGGAAAAATTACCCCTGAGACAGCACTGAAAACTGGATAAGAGGAACTCCTGCAACAACGGACAATCCTAATTGAGGTGGAAGAGGCAGAAACTCCCTTCTGGAGAGGAAAAACGCTGTCTTCACAAGCCACAGCACCTCACAGCCGCCCAGGAGCAGCCGAAAGGTACGCAGCC